GAGATGATTTGGGTGGTTTCTCTCTTTCCTTGTTCTTTTATTTTTTATTTCTTTGTTCATATATGGGCCGAGGATCAGCCACAGTAATTGTCATTGTTCAACTACGCTCTCATGCAACATCAAATGGTATAAAAGCAGTTCCCTCCCTGTCTTCTACACTACAGGACTCACTTTTCAACATCAAATTCTAACAACAGAAACAGAGAAAAAAACATTTTATGATTTAGAAACAAAACGAAGTCAACAATGGCAAATTAAAAAAAGTTACAAAATATGTCTAATTCATCAAATAAATGAGTGACAATCACAAAGGTTCCCATCAAAATAAATAAATAAATAAATCAGAGGTCTTTCTAATTCTATTTCTCTTTCATAAGATTAGCATAACATTCCCTTGAAGGACAACTGTCATTGGTATCACTTCTACTTTACCAAAATATTAGCCATCCAGGAAACGGTGCATATGCTTGGCAGTAAATTTCCCATTAAAACACATTAATTCATCAGTTCCTTCGTATATTTAGATGCATTATTAATACATATGCCTATACATGAGAAGCCATTAAAAAATGGAAGGCCAAGCAGCAAATCAATGACTATTGACAACAAAAAGGGAACATTCTGATGGAGCATTGACAATTGGATAAAAAAAAGATAAAGCAATGAAATAAACCAAAATGAAATTGCTTGTGTAATAGTTACTGCCTTCAACAAGCAACCAGACTAAAGGCATGGTATGTCAAAACCAAAAAGAGAAGACAAAAAAGCATAATAAATAGAGTGTGACAAAGTAACAACATTAGATATGTAACTCACAACATGGTTTTGCATGACAAGGCAATCTGTACCCAGCTTTTTTAACAAATCTGGAGGAAATCTGCAGAGAAGGATAAACATATACAGATATCAGTACTAAATGTGTAAAGTACAAAATTAAAAGCAGATTAAATTGACCACAATATAAATAAGCATACTCAGCTTTTTGTAACCCATTGGCTTAACTTAATTACCAACCTTGGCTTAATTAACTTAATTATCAACAAACAGAAACAGATGATGTGTCATCAGCCTCATCCTTGGAGTAAAATATTAATTTGAATCATTCAACTGGTTAAGATTTCAATTTCTATAATGATAAAAACTACTAATTTTTTTTATTGAAACATTATATCCCTGCATTACAAAAGTTGCATACTTCTGCAACAACAATATGCCTTAGGGAAAAAAGTGGCTGGATCCAAGGCTGTTTCAGTATTGATGCAAAATCTGATTTTGATGTAAAACACTAACCAATAAACCTTAGTTTTCCCTATTAGCATATGCAGTCAGCAGTCCGGACTCTTGTAAATTCTGATTCAAGGATATAGAATTTTTATTCCATCCAATTAAAATCCTTACAATTACCAGTGCATAGTTGTAAATAAAACTGTGATAGCAGTAATATCATAAAAGGATAACACCACTAGAATCAAATTATAAGCATGTGGCATGAAAGTTGTGAAATCTTGGTACCTTTGAAACACATTTCCTTCAATATTAATGTTTTTCATGAATTGGAGAGTAGATGCTTGATCTGCAGCACTGAATCTTTCAAGAATATTTCTGTCCTGTTATCAAGAAGAAAAGTTCCAATTAACCTAAGTTTTACCCTTTGGGCTAGAACAAGAAGAAGAAAAGGTTGATGTACATGGAAACGTAAAATCCACTTATCAAAGAAAACAGAATACTGAAATCAAGTATCTTTTCAGACAAAGTTGTCATTGTTATTGTAACACATTTTGAGATGAAGAGATCTCAGCTCCCTTTGGGTCAATCTGAAATTTCTCATCCTATTCTGGTTGGTTTCAAAGGAAACCATGAGCAACACGTTGCATGTCACAAACGATACTGCCATTAATTCCTTGCTCACCAGCATAGATCAGTTCCAACAAGGGGACAATATCATAAGCTATCCTGAATTTTGGCAGACAGTAATTCCAAGAATAATGACAAGCCATGATTTTTCAACATTTGAACGATTGCAGTGCGGGAAAAGAGGGAAAAAAATAAGGTTGCCTAGGGGCACAAAAACCTTTTTGACACAGTGAAAGTCATGAAAAGAGAGAATTACCTTGCTTACAATCATCGTTACAAGTTCAAATCCTAAACAAATAGCATATAATGGAAAATGTTCTCCTGCATCATTCTTCTCCAAAACTTTCTGCAAGAAACATAGAAAATAATATTATGCAAAAAAAGAAATAATAATAATCTTGCTGTGAATTTAGGAAATAAAAGCAAGAATTTAGGTTTTCCTTTGTTTCTTCTTTATTTCCTTCTCCTTACAGATTCAAACTGCAAAGTCTAGTTCCATTACTAATGCAATCCACCAGTAAAGGGAAAAAATAAGTTTGAATTTTTGTCAATTATGCTTTCAATGAGCAACAAGCATGGAAAACTAAGTGCAATCTTGTAAATTAAGATAATGATATTCAACTAATCACCTTAAACACCCGTCGAAGAGTCTCGAAGTACAAACCACTCTTAGCCCACCCTCCAGTGAAGAGCACACCATTAACCAATTGAAGCTTCTGCAATGCAACAGCAGAGTAGAGACTCAGCAAAAATGTTAGTATATGAAAGTAGTACAGCTTAGTTAAACAGATTCCTTACTTCCAAAAGAATCTCCGGCGGCTCGTTATAAATAAGAGGAATAACGCGAGCGCCGGCCGACTCGACGAACTTCACATACGAAGCTGCAATGTAGGAGGCGTTAGTAGCGTTATTGAGCCTACCGGATGCGCCATCCCCTGGATGGCTCAGTATACCAACCACCGGCCTGTAATTGAGATTGGGGTCAACCGCAGGACACCTCGGTACAGAAGTCAGTGAGTCGGTGGAGGAATCATCCGAGCGCTGACTCGGGAGAAGGATGGTGGAATGGGGTTTGGCGAGGGAGAATTCTTTGGAGAGGTAGATGAGGATGGGGATAAAAAGGTAATTCCACATATCGGAAGGGATGGAGGAAGCAGAAGAGGAAGAAGAGGGGGAGGAGGAGGCGGCGGAGACGGAGTCGGTTTGGGAATCCGAACGATCGACGGATGGTTTAGAGAGGTAACCGGTGGGCATCTAGGAAACTGAAAAATGAACGATCGGAGTTGGTGGGCGCAGCGGAGGTGGAGGAAAAGACGAGGCTTGACATGGAGAGGTGCTGACAGCGCCTCGTCGGTTACGGCGAAAAAAATCAGAGTGAGGTGCAATTGAAAGTACAAGAAGAAGGAAACGTTTATTTTAACGGTGACGGCATTTCGGGTGTCATTTGCATCAGTGTTTCCTAGTTTGGGCTAAACCCATACTGCTCAATTTTGGGAGAGACTTTGGGCCCAGAGAAGTGTTTGAAACTGATTGGGCCCGAGTTGGTCATTGCAAGCTGGCAGAAAAATGGAAAATTGGAACTGCGCGAAGAGGGAAGAGAAATGGCTAGGGCTGGGCTGGGCTAGGCTGGGCTGGTACGTGATGCAAAATTGCTGGCCCATTCCAGTGCATTCTTTTTCTTCTCCAGTTCTCCTCCATTTTTCATTTTTACATTAAACTTGAAAGTTGAAACTAATACATATGAACACTTTAAATCTTTGAAGGGATGAGAAGAAAGGACTATATTAAGTCAGGGGAGGCAAATTGGTACATGGAAAGTACGTAAAAGGTGGTAGCAATGGGGAAGACTTTTTCAAAGTGTGGAAAAAAAAAGGTTTATTAATTAAAAATTATATAAAAAATAAATATTAAAAACATTATTTTTATTTTTTTATTATAATATTAAGCAAAAACAAAAAATCAAGATGTCTTGGCATGCCAAAATGTCTATCTAGCCGTCAATCATATAGATTTTAATTTAGAATTCATGTGATGGACGGTTTGAAAAACGATGTGATCATCCGTTTTGACATATCAAAATATCTTGAAAATCTAAAAATCTTAATATTAATTTATAAAAGTAAGTAAATGATCGTGCAAGAGAAAAACTTTTAAAAAATTTTAAAAGCAAAGTTCTCTTTAAACCAAATAAGCCTAAAGAAATTATGATATTGATATGCATTTAAAAATTTTATTATCAATGTTTTTTTAACCTTTTTGCACCATGCTTGTCACTTGGAGGTTGAATTATTACGAAGATTTTGTTATCAATAAACATGTA